GAGGTATGGTTTAGTGATGATGCTCCTTGTTTGTTGTGTGGGTGACTATTTTTGTCAGTTAGGTTGACGGTTGGACAAGATGATCTTTAAGGTCCCTTCCAACCTAGAAGATTCTGTGATTCTGTGATTCTACCTGCCTGGGTTCTGTCGTGACTGAGGTTTTTCACAGCAATGATTTTAAAGCTAAATTCACATTCCAGAAGTGCCCAGACTTGCATTTTCAACAAACGTGGGCAAGCAAGATGATGGCAATTAATGCAACGCAATGACACTCATTTGCACATGGAAAGAATCGAGCCCATTTAACCTTTAAGAGAAAACAGTTATTATATTTTAATGTTGTTTCATGTATTAACAGTCACATATTATTTTATTGTGCTTAATTAACATAGATAAGCTTAAGCCATTGCAAGGTAAGTTAAAACCCACATAATTTCCTCTTTTGTAGGAATTTGTGTGTAATTTACACTGCTGCGTTCAGCCCCCAACATTCCAAAATCACGCTTAAAATAATTAGATTTAAAAAATACAATTGGAATTGTTCTTTGTCTTTTTATTTTTCAGCCTTAAACATCACATTTTAAATTTCTCCATAATAAGGACCAGGGGCTGGTTTTTAAAAGCAAAAAGTTAACGGCTTTAAGCATCATACTATTCCCGGAGCTTGTGCTTTAGTTTGCAAGGTACTGGTGAAATGGGTACCATCAGCAACGCAGACCCTGTTTGCAATTCTCCAGCCCCACTTGTGTTCAATTGCACAGGGCTTTCCCATAAGGAAATTAGCCCAAATAACTATCTTATCCTCAACTTGAAGGTATCATGTCAGTCGTGAGTGGCATCAATCCCGCCGTGAAGATGGTTTAATTGGGAACCAGTGAAAGCAGTTAACAGATGGCCTTTTATAAATCTGGGGCTAGGATGGACGTTAAATATTTGTGTTCATGAGATTACGGAGTTGGAAGAGTATGGGATGTGGCCTTTCTGACGAGACCCCACGTGCCTTGCAGTAGGTCCTGGTGCATCCTTCCTTGTGCCGGTACCCAGAAAAAAAGGACCAAATATTTAATCCTGGAGGTCCTCCATGCCAGGGTGGAATAAAGACCAAATCCTTCCTGCAGAGCCCAGGGCAATTCACATCAATGAGATCCAGCCCTCCTTCAGCAGCGGGGTGAGAGCCGCACACCCCGGTGCTCCAGCGGTCGCTCCACCTGCGGGTCACGGGGCTCAAAACCCTGCAGCAACGCCTGGGAAAAAAACAAATCCCCAACTCAGGTCTTGGCAGCCAGCTAGGAAATCAATTGCTTCTCATTTATGTTCTGTAGAACGTAAATGTATTTGTAAATTTGAAAGCAGCTGCTGATGCTCAGCAGTAAACCGGTTTTGTTTTACAAAATCTTTGCTGTTTGGTCTTAAACTAGCGAAGTTTTCGTGTGTATCCAGCACTCGGCGTTTCAGGGAAGATTTTGTCTAGCTGCCTCTGTGACATATGGTAATGCTTAGTGTGTGCTGTATGGCCTGGAGCCATACCACTGCAGCCTGTATGCTCCTCAGATCTCCCAGGCTAAGGGAATCGGGACGAGGCAGCGTTTGAATGCTAGGGGACCTCCCAGAAAAAAAAAAAAAAGTCAGAGTACAGTGTATTGTGCCGGTAGGAGGACAAGATGTTCCTCCCTCCGGGCTGAAGCAATTCCCCACACGGGGCTAAGGTGACTGTGTGCTCTCCGGGCGTTAGCCTTTCGGATGACGCAGATTATAAAATAGACCACTAATGTACTGTGAAAGGTCTCGCAGATCTTAGCCATGGGAAAACAGCAAAGAATCTCACTTCCCAAGGTAACCCAGAGGAAATGGTGATGCGGAGGACAGCACCATGAGACCTCTTCTCATCTTGTTCTGGGAGGCGGGATGTTCCCGTTACCACCTTCCTTTACAGGATGCAGTTAACACCGCTGAGAAATCGCTGCTTGTTTTCCACATGGGCTGTTCCCAGCCTCCCTGGAAGCTGAGAGGGGTCCAACAGAGGTCCCAGTACAGCCCAGCAGGCACAGAAACCCACCCATGTCCCTGCGTTGGGCTGGGAGAGGAGGGAAGGAGCGTGGCTTGTGGTGGAGGAGAGGGGCTACAGGTCTGGCTTTGCAGCCTCTTCTTGGCGATGTTATTAATTCGTTCTGGGACCTTGGGAGACTCATTTAACCTCTCTTTGTCTCAGATTCAAACCTCTACAAGCAGTTATTATAACATTTGGCTGCATTATGGCATTGTTGAAAGGCTTAATTAAATTAAGTGTTCTGAGATCTTTGAATGAAAGGTGCTATCCAAGTGAAAGCTTGTTGATGATGATGACTCTAAATTACGAGGCCAAGTCCTTCACAAGTTTTACTCAGCCCTTGGTTAGCAAAAGTTATTTTTAAACACTGGGTTTGATATAGCATTAAAAGTGTTTTGGGAGTGCCATGTGTATAGTCATGACATCTGACCCTCAGTGGGAGTGATTTGTCAATGGAGGGTTTTAATGGTAGGAACCAGCCACACATCATTCACATACAGGCAAACACGTGCTGGTTGCACACAATTTCTTTTTCCCTCTTTTTTTTTAAAAAAAAAAAATATGCTTATTTGAAAATCTTAATCGGAAAGAATGGTTAGGACTTTTAGTTACTTCAGGAGAAATGCTGTCTCAGGTGGAAAACAAGAAGGAACTACTTGATGAAAGTAGTTTACAGGCGTCGTGGCCAGAAGATGCACAAACAGATATCTTCTGTCTTAAAACCTGTGAGTACACCACTGGAAGGAGAGCATGTAAAGTATGGTGGGTCTTCCTCTAGTTAGTATCTTACCAACAGCAAGGAGGCAAAATTCCAAATTCCTCTTTTAATTTGTATTCCTTTGTTACTCATGCAAAAACTCCTGTGCTTTGGCAGGAGGGCTGTAACCCTAAAAGTCTTCTCATTTTTTCTACCAAACTTTTCTTCACCTGTTTATTCAGCTCAAGTTTCCCTCTACCAGAATCCCTGACACACTCATCCTCAGCACTTTTTCTCTTTTGGCCTCTTTTCTTCTGAACTTGAAAGACATAGTTTTCTTAGCTGCTTTTATTAGGAAACATCATCCCCCTGGTATTGCCGTACCAGTAACCCCACCAGGCCATTTTGCCCTATCTCCGTTGCCATCTTGAGCAAGCTACCAATCCTTCCTAGCCTTTCCCACCAGCTTGTTTTCCTTTTTCAGAGTTTCTCTCTATTGCACAAAACCCACCTTATCAAAGTCATCAAAAACATAAGTGTAAAGACTTTATCAGGGTATTTCATATGGGTTAATTTTATTTTTTTGTGTGTGTGGGTACCATAGGCATAGAACCACATCTAGTTTCAGAGTCTGGGCTTGTTAAAGGTCTGCTTTACAGGCTATAATATAATGAGTGGGAGACTTTCAATAGACAGGAAGGATGGTATTTTGGTTAAAGCCTTCAGGAGATCAGAATTCAGCTTCTAGCTCTGCATGCTTCCTGTGTGGTTTTGGGAAAGACACTTTGTGCCATAATTCCCCATCTGCAAACTAAAGATGATATTACATCCTGTTTCTCACCTTCTCCCTGCAAGCTCTGTAAAGCTGCAGAGGCTGTAAGCACTGGAGAGCAAATACCGTCACTTTTATACGCAGAGCTTCCCACAATAGCGTTTCACTCTCAGCTGAAGACTAATGACTACTGTAGTACTAATAATAAATAATAATTGTAATCGTACATAATACTTTTAGCCTTACTTGCACTTAAGGTTGATTCTTCCAGACTTCCTGGAAGTTTATCTTGGGACCAGCCTGAGCAAAGAATAATCATATCAAACTGTGCTAAATAAGGTGGATTTCTTTTCTCATATATTTTCTCTCTATTTACTGAAGGAGAATGAACAGAGACTTAAGACCATCAAACTCATTTCACCTTTGTTATATTTAAACTAATTAGTCTCAGAGATGAAAAACACATTTCTCAGATTCCAGATAATCTTAAACAAAACACTTCATGCTGATTTTATTCTGCTTCTATCTGTGCAAAGATTAAACAAAACCCACAGTTGGTTTCATCTGCCAGGCTCTAAAAAAAAATATCATGCCACAGAAAGAGAGGGGGAAAATAAATCCAAGGCAAGGTTTTTGCAGTGCTATGAGTTTGCTCATCCTTAGTTTATCTTCTGCAAATGAGCATGTATAAAACAGTCCACCTACTGTTCTAGTTGCTACGATATAATGCAGTTCCACTGAATGATCCTGTTAACCTAACCTTCAATTTGCTGGGATTTGAACTCTGAATTACAGCTTACTAACATAGTTTAACAGCTGGTACAAGGGCTTCTTTTGAATTTTTAATCACATGAATTAAAGATTGCTGGAGATGCTTTTCAGACCTCCACTAGCAGTGATCCAATGTACAGAAAGACAAGTATAGGTAGCCCCTGGAGGATTAAGAGCACAAAGGTACTATGGCTTGTGAAGCTATGCTGCACTCTTTGCTTGCCAAATTATGAATACTGGTGGAAATTATTCATACGAAGATAAATTCACATTATGGCACCAAACGGACCCCAAGACATTTAGCTTGAGTTTAAAAATCCCCTTTTTAGCTTGCATTTTCCTACACAGCATGCATCTCACAGAGCGCAGGTTTTGAAGATAAAGCTTGGTTTAGCAAACTGTTTCTTTTGTTCTGTGTATAAAGGGAACACAGCCACACACACACACACGCACGCAAAAAAAAGAGAAAGAAATATATATAGACTGATTGCAACTGATATCTGGAATGCAATGAAAACAAACATGACCGTCTGTGGATGTTTCGGGGTGGATGTAATCATTTGTTGCCGTCGTACAGTGTGTGGAATGTGCGTGTTTAGATTCTGCACTCTTTGCGTCTCCCGTTATTTATTCCAAGGAGATCTTTCTTATTGAGGATATTTCTCAGGGAAGGCAAAAAAAAAAAAGAAAAAAAAGAAAAAAATGTAGTTCAACTGGAAGCTTCTCTACCCTAACACGCCAGCTGATGAGTGCTGTGAGAACTTGGGAAAACAGACCCTGCCTCCCAAGTTCACCAACCCTGCAAGCCTGAAGATCAGCATAATAAAGTTGATGGAGTTGCTTAAACAAAGTAAGTAGAGGATGGAGATGGGAGGGGGGGGAGGCGGGGAGAAATTAAAAAAAAAAAAAAAATTAGGGCAGCACGAACAAGAAAGCATGTTGCTTCTTAATTATGCTGTGTTCTCTCTCTAATGGATTGGCCTCCCCACACGCTCTAAGTAAAGCAACTGGCATGTGGCATCTTCTGCAGCGAGAGGAGCGGTGGCAAGTGTACAGCTGTTCGTGCTGACACACAGGTGTTTGATTTTTGGATTCGTTAGCCAGACAGATTTTTAAGGGTGTACAGGGGAATCATCTGCAGTTGTTCCACAGAAAGTGAGTTGTCCAAGAATCCCGGAGTTAATTATTATGTAAATCCCACTCCAGAGCCAAGGCTCGGGGCTGGAATTGGAACCGTGGCTCCCCTGCTCCCTGCGAGCTCTGGGTCGCTGTCTGATTTCCTTGCTCTAGCCTTTCTGTTAAGTGCTGCCTGTGAGCTGGCAGCCGATGGACAGCCACGAGAGCAAAGAGGCAGGAAGGTCAAGTGGAGATGACAGGCAGAGGCAGTCGGGTCATTGCCGTCCCTCTCAGCAGCCACGTTATCTCTAGGAAGACAGAGGTGTCCACGCCAAGTCACCAAAGAGGTGATGCTCAAGCTACAGGGATGCTTTTCACAGTCCTGGGGGAGAACCTTAAAATCAGCAGGTGAGGAGAAAGTTCAGAGGGAGCTTTCCTGTGCTTGTAAGAATAGTAAGTTGCTCCCACTCTGGGAGCTCCCACCTGCATTAATAGCACTGAGCAAGGCAGTGGCTTTGGGCAGTGTGTGCTTGGGGTACATTGTGTTTGGCTGGCAACTGGGAATAGCATCACCTCCTACCAAATTCCCTCTATAAATAGCCAATGATTTGTCCATATTTTTTTTTTAAGGCTCTTGAAGTAACTGTGCATCAGTTTCCCCAAATAATAAGTTAATTTGATTTTATTCAAGTGACAAATGTTATCAAATACAGGGTAGACTGCTACATTTCCTCTAAAGTACTGATATATATGAGCTGTTATATGTTTAATGCTCCACTCAGAGTTGTTAAATGAAGAAGTAGAGGCGTCAAGAGAAACCAGGGGAACCTCAACATGAAAGGTTTGATGGGCTGTGGTGGACAGGCCAAATTCTCCTCCCTGTTCCTCCAGGGTTCCTGGAGTGGATCAGAGGGCTGCTGATGGTTCTGCTCCACACACGCACCCAACAGCTCAAGGATGGAAAAACGTTAAAACTACTTATTTGCCCCTTTTTTGGACACAATTTCACCTCGCAAGAACTCAAGTTCTGTTTTGTGTGCTCTGGGACCTGGGGGCTTTGGACTTCTGTCAGTAGCCCCACGGGGTGTCCATGTCTCTCTGTCTGCTGCCAGCGTGGTAGGTTGCATGGCTCTGGTGATGGCTGGGCATCACGTTGACGGGCAGCACCAGAAGAGCAGCAGGAGCAGCAAGGCCAGCGTTAACGCTCTCCTGTAATTCCCATTTGAGTGATGAAACCCAAGAATGCAGAGCAGCTGGGAGCGGGTCTTAGAGTGCTGATAGTGGGCAAGCTGGGGAGTATCACATTTCTCTCCTGGGAAAAGGCCTTTTTCCTCCTAGAGTTAAGTCTTTTGTTTTGTTTGTGTATTCTGCTCTTCGTTTTGCTCTTTTCCGCGTAGCTGACAATGGGAAATAAATCAAATCCATCTCTTCTTGCTCGCAGTTTCCCAGGGAGGAGGAGAGGAAGGAACACCTCAGCCTGTTCCCCTGTGACTCCCAGCCTTGCTCACTGATCTCCAAAGCCATGCTCTCCCTGGCCGTGCCCAGCCCAGCGTCGTTACCCAGTTCCCCGGGCTCTGGATATTACCATCCATCACAGCCGCTCTGGTTCCAGCGACTTGCTAAATGTCTGAATTTCCCTGCTGGCTCAATGAAGGGTTTTCAGCTTGTGGTACATTATATAGCTACCGGGTGAATGGGACTGAGCGTTCCCGTTTGGCTCCGAGTGCCGTGTTCACCTGAGCTCGCTGGCAGGATGAATAGTTCACCGCGGTTCTAGTGCTAACCCCCTTTGTGAACTAGCAGTGAGCCATGTACCTTATTACAAAGGCTGACAGCTCCCTGGAAACTTAAATCCACTCTTTCTCCTTTCCCTACCATAGGGAGCTATAAAAGAAAAGGACTTGGTTGGTAGGCATGTAATATAACAAAAAAACCTCTGTTGTGGCAAGATCCAGACTCCCCAGTAACAATGAGGATTATGTTCTCGCATCGAAAATGCAGTTGCTAGTTTTAACTGCGGTACCTTATTATGGATTCCTACAGTGTACATTTATGTCAGGGGCTCGGATGTTTAACTTCAGTCGGGTCCGGGTAGAAAAGAGAGCTTGGCATCTTCTGGATTATTTTTTTTTTTAATACGGAGGGAAAAGATGCAGCTTGACGCTGTTTTGATGCTACCTTTCCCCAAACTACTTCTCAGAGAGCTTTAAATAGCCTGACATTGGCACTGGGCAGGAGCTGGCAGAAGAATAGATTTTTTTCATCTGATGGCTCGCCAAAGTTGTGTTCAAGAAGGAGAAGTAGAAGAAGAAGAAAAAAAAAAACCACCACCCCCCCCAAACCCCTTTTGCATGCCAGTCATTCATTGCCTGCCAGTTCCCATGGTCCTCCTATGGATGGTAGCCACATAACTATTCAAAGTACAGTAAACACTGAGGAAAGTGAAAAGAAACTCATGAAGCAGAGAACAGCGAAGGGAAAGTAGTTGGACATGGGATACATGGTAGTAAGAGTCATTTGGGGACCACTTTAGGATTTACCACAAATGCCCAGCTCATTCCAGCTGGACCAGTGCTGTAGGGAGGATCTCATTTCTGCCAGATGGGGAATCCCAACGGTGACACAGCAGCACCCATTGTGGGGGTAGTGGGTAGGCAGCAATAACTTTCTGGGGTATCAAGGATGGAAAAGAAGGGTGTCTATGAACGTCATTCAGCTACGCTTGGGAAGAGTAGGATAGTCCTTTGCATGGACTGGTAGTCCTAGGGGACTTGTGCCGTTGCACTGCTATCTTCTTTTCTGCTATGTCAGCCTCTGGAGTGGAGTGTTTTTTTTAATATATAATTATTTATTTTATTTATATTTCTTCTTATTAATTTTTGTTTGTTTGTTTCATAAACCAGGGAAGGGACAGAAAAGAGAGGAGGTGAAGCGTTAGAGTTTCCCTCCCACATACCTGACGTAGGACGTGAAGTAATTTTTATTACCTGCAGGGTAAGGGAGCTGTAGGTAAAGATGCTCTTTTGAAAGACCACTTGTTGCAAAGGAAATACGTGTTGCCTTCACTGTATGTAACATATTTAGCTTCTGTGGGGCAAGGGAGGTGGTGTACCAGAGAAAACATATTTATCTCACTCAGAACAAGCTTGCTATAGAGAGAGAGAGAGGTGGGTTATCACTATGGATTTCTCTGATAGAGTTAAGCACAGAAGTGCCTAGATGGGTGAAAACTTCCCTCCCCGCACATGGTACAATGTGTTTTCTGTATCAGTTCCCCTTTAATATTTTCTTTCAGAAAAACCTGTTTTCTTTGACAAGTTGACTGAAACCCTACAAATTTATACGTGGTTTGTATCATGAGTTACACAAATAAAACCATACCCAATTGGATCTGAGTGTAGCTGACTCTGAAGTAGCATATCCTGATTAAAAGATAACTTGAAGTCTCACTGCCCCGGGACAGTTCAGGGATGGTTTATTTCTCTCTCTCGAGCTCCTTGTGCCTGAGGTTGGTACCTAAGAAAGACCCCTGGTGCCTTGCCACCACTGTACCTTTTGCTATTCTACTCCCTGATACCACGTGAAGGAAGACAGGGTCTCCCCTGCATTCCTGAGCATGACACGTTGTCCCCTTTTTTTTTGCACTCTTGTGTAAAATGAAAATTCAAAAAGGCATTATTTATTGTATCAAGTTCAGTCTTTTTGCGTTTGTTTAGGAAAGAAAAAAGAAACAAAACCAAACCAGCCTGAAGAAAGAAAGGGTGCACTTGGAGAAGAGGAGTCTGAAGACGAGCAATAGGAGCCTTTAGGTGGCTGGAGGGATTGACTCTTTCGTGAAGATGAGAGGAACTGAAAGCCGTAGTGAAATATTATACTTCCCCACAGCCACAGAAACTCTTCATACTTGAGCAGAGCAGCTTTACGAGCAACGTGTAAAAGCCAGTGATAAGCATCTGCACGTATCTGAGGACCGCTAGACTGTGAGGATCATGGTGTTCCCCAGGAAGACGAGACCCTTGGAGCTGAGTGATGTTAGTCTGGTGCGGTCAGAAGGTGGATGGCCGAGGGTCCACTCGGGTTTGCTTGGCCACGCGCTCTGTGTTTGCGTAAACAGGAGAAGAAGGTCCCAGGGAGATCGCAATTGTCTCACCAGCTCCCTCACCAGCTTCCAGACCCCTCTCTCGTGCAGCTGCAGCCATGATTCATCCCTGTTCCCAGGCTCTCCTCGCCAGTGAGAGCACAGCAGGCACCTGGTGTGCTAAATAATCCTCAAGCAGTAGGCTCGGAGATCATTAACTCTTCAGTCCCCAAAGTAGGGTATTTTGCAAAGCACATGCCTGGCCGTGGGATAGGATCCCACAGGAAAGCAGTGGAAGCCCCTGTTTCTCATTGAAGCAGTGGAATTGAGGAGCGTAATGTTGCAGATCTGATGTATGGGGCAGCTTATTTCAGAGAAATGGAAGGGGGGAAAAAGAAAGGCAGTCTTAAAGGTGTATGGGTCAGAAAACACCTGCAAGTAATATGGGAGAGGACAGATGTGAGGTGGAGATATCTCGGTGCCCATCTCAGCTGCAGAAAGGTAAGGAGCGTTGGTGTATCAGGGCACTGTCTGAGGGAGCTCAGGCTGAAAGTTGGTAAGAAAAAGGAGGCTGAGGGCTCCCTTTGAATCCTGAAAGCTGGATATCAGTGCCATCCTTGGGATGCTTCCAGTGCTGCACATCAACAGGCTGGGGTGTAGAGTGACCAGCCGAGGAGAGAAGGAGCTCCATCCACTGTGCACATCGTAGTATCCCTGTGACCGTCCTCCTCCCATCACAAGGTTTCTGGTGGTTCGAGAGACTCCTGTCCTTTTCTTCACTTGTTTTAAGGAATGATATTGCCTTGTACCACTAAAAAAGGCACACAAGGGGAAGGAGAATTGGCAATAGCTCTCTTTTGGACCTTCCTGTTGCTTTTTATGCTCAAGTAAATGAGGGAGCAGGAGGAACGTGCTTGATGAGAGCATGTCCCCCTGTGACTCCATACTTGTGTAGTGGGTTGTGTACCAGCCCTGAGATGTGGAGCTTCCTTTGCTCCCCTGATTATTCCCAGGGGGATTTTGCAGCAGGGTGTGAGCTGAAGAAAACGTCCTACCCTACGAAAGTAAATGCTGTGTGTGTCTAAGGGGACAGGCCTCGTGTCTGCAATACGCACTAAAAAGAAAGAAAAAAGGTCAAACATGGTGAGAAAAGAGAGGTCTGGTCATCTGGGACCAAATTCTGACTTTATTCCTGAGGTGATGAATAATTCAAAGGGCCAAACTGATACCCAAGTAGCAGAGCGTGGGTGTAGACCTCTTGCTTTGCAGTGCACCTACTGTTGATAAGTCATTGCTCTGGATGACCGGTGCGATTCCAGGGACACAAAGTGCTGGAGCAAAGGCAGGAAATCTGTTTAAATACACACACACACACACATACAAAAAAAAAAAAAAAAAAAAAAAAAAAAGAAACACTGCCGTCTCGTGGCACCACCGCGGCTGCTGTAGCACGTACAGCCTCACCAGAGGTCACAGGCAGATGTCACAGGCATTTAGCAGCAGGCTGGGTACGCAGGGGAAACTTCCTCAGATTTCACAGATGAAGACAGAGAGTTGCTTTTTGCACAAACAAAAAAAAAAAAAAAAAAAAAAAAAAAAGAGATGAGTTAAAGTAAGGTTATTTAAAGCTTAAAAGAATTTGGCAGAATGTCTATTGCTGTCATCCGCTTCTTCTTTCCCCTTCCCTGGTCCCAGTTTTCTGCCATGTTAACGTGTGCAGAAGAGGTGGCCTTGTCAAGCTCTCAAAAGGCAGCATACTGAAAAGGTCAGAGCAGTATAGTATGACAGAGCATGTAAGTCATTATCATTCTAATATTGCCTTTGTAACGAGAACGAGAGCAGAGCAAATTATTGTGAAATACGCTGTAAAACTTGGGAAAACATCATAGTTATATCGCTGCCTAAGTTCTCATCGCTAGCTTTAATGATGAGTGGATTCTATGTGTGTCTTCATAAACGTGGTCTGTAGCTTGGAGGAGGCTGAAATAAAAAGATTTGTGGCAATTTCCATGGTAACTATTCATTTTTCCCCCCAACCACATAAGGAAAACTCACATTACTGCAAGGTTGGGAGAAACTGAAGCTAACTAAAGAGCTGAGGGATTTTGTTTGATTTTGTTTGTTTGTTTTGTTTGTCTGATTGTTTGTTTGTTTTAATTTAAGGTCTGTCAAAACTTTGGCATTAATTCCTGCCATCTGAGTAGCATGAAACCAAGGGTAAGGTGTTTTTATTATATCTAGATCCATTTCACTCGTAAAAGTAACATGCAGTATAATTTTATTGCTAGTGATGCCAGGCTATTTACCTGGACTATTTGCTGGAGATGCTCCTTTTGCAAAGATTTGGGTGACTGATAAGGAAGGAATAACTCTCAATCCCTTATAGGTCCCAGATGATAAAACAGTAAAAAAATTGCGATGTTCCCCATTCAGAGCACTAAATGGTAGAAGAACATACAGAAAAATAATGACCAGGTTGGAGAAGCACTTGTCATGTAGAGGTAAGTCCCAATTAATTTGGGGGGGCTTTTTTGCAAGTTATTGCTGTGCTGTTACAAGTCCTTCAGACCAATTGTCCACCCCTGCAGTGGAAAACTAGACCAAGAGGTTTCGTTACAACTGGTGGCCCCTAACAGGGACACAAGTCTGTTATGTCCTGCTGCTGTGTGCTGTTTAATGTTGCTTCATGTTACTCTTCTATATTCTCATTAATATATGCATTTTATCTTACTCTGACAAACTGCAGCCTTTTACGCACTCGGAGATTTAAATAAAGTAGATTATGGGTTGATTTATGTAAACCATTGAAAACTCCACTTGAATGGGTTTACAAGCTGGCTTTTGTCAGTTTGGTTCTCTTTGATAGCTGAGATTGCAAATTAAAATACAAAATGAAATGAAAGTTATACCAAATGCGCAATATGTCATTTATACCAAAGAAGCTGGCATTTCAGAGAAGTGAGCTGTACACAATTTATGGCTTTGATCTTCAGGTGGAAGAAGCTGCAGGCAGAAAGCGGGCATGGTTTTTCAAAAACAAGTAGGGATCACAGGAAACCACCTGGTTCAGGTAGCTTGGAGAGACTGAGGGAAATAGGCTCCTTGCCAGGCCATTGGTATGACCCAGGTCAGGTCATAAAGCTGCCATGGCACTATTACTCATGGAGTTTTGTGTCTTTGGGACATGTTTTCTTTGTTTTTTGCAGTCTTCAGTGGACCCTATGGGGCACATTAACCCTTCACACACGTACAGGCATAGAAGAC